AATTGAGATATAGATGCGTTGATATTTCGGCAAGATACCTTTATCGAAACGAAAAGCAGAAGAAAAAAGAAAACAGTAGCTTCAGCTATCCGTTTGGATAAAGGCATGTTGCCGAAATATCAACGCATCTTTAGCTCCATTCTCCTGTTTTTTCTCCGAGAAATAAGGCTATTGCTACTGTCTTATCTATGTGCACAATGTCTGCACTAATGTACTTAACAACTCACTTAATTAAGAGCTTAAAGATTTAAAAGCTTCAAACCATTTTTTTTATGTAACGCATGTTTCAACAATTGATGCATGATTTTTAGCATCGGAGCCCTCCAAACACCACTGCGAGCCAAAAGTTCACCTGTCAATGGAGCAGTTCCTTGTTGACAAGAAATAAAATGCCTGCAGAATCTGCGTCATGAATACGCAAGCATCCTGTCCAAAATAATCAATCACGTTTCAGATCATTTGTGCAAAAGGGCCTTCAGGAGAACTGCTGCTGCTTCAATGCCGTCCCATTTCCCCCCGCTGGTGCGACGTTTTCCGCCCTGGGTGGCCTCAAGACGATAATAGGCTGCTCGATGATCTGTCTATCAGCGCCCTTGTTGAAAGCATCGATATCGCTTTCACACGTCTAGAAAACAGATAATATGAATTGATATTAGAGCTATATATTATTGTGCAGGTCAATATTGGCCATTAGGGTCAATTGATGATGTTATAGCTGCACGCTTAGCGTAAAAATGATCTGTTGCGTTCTTTGGATGCAGCCTGAGCATGGGTGAAAGCTATGCATTCTCAGAGCAAACTAATTTCGGTGCACATATTAATCATCGGTGCAAAAATGATGTAAATCGCCATACATCTGATTGTTGCAATATGAGCACCGCACAGCGACCGCAAAAAAGCATTAAGGTCGGGCTACAAGTGACTCTGGATGACAAACTGGCGCAGGGGAATAAGATAATATTTCATTTCAAATGCATGCATTGTAAAGGCTATTGTTCGCAATTGGAGGCGTAGACGGCACACATACAGGACATGGCTAACGTGCCAAGGCGAAGACAGGAGCTGCTTAAGCCAATGTAGTCGATGTAGTTCGAAGGTGTGTCATGCAGTTGATGAAGTCTCGGTGCATCCCTATGGTGGACTGGTCAGCCAGACGACGCAAACGCCATGCTAGTCAGGTCATAAAGGAAATGCCCCATTGCCCGTCCCCCGCGTACCTACAGAATTCCAAAACTGTGAAAGGTTGGATAGGTAGACCTAAAAAAATCAGAAGACTTTTCTCAAAGCATCATGTGGTCTAGCATATTATCGATATTTTTCATCCAGGCACAGTGGTCTATTCGCAGAACATACATCATTCGCGAATCATGCCGTTTAGGCGTATAACCCGAAACCTTCCAGCTTCACCGAATTACTATTTTTTATCGATGGCAGTTTGTATTTGATCTTTATAAAGTTGAAGTCTGAGGTTAACCACAAGCACGCCATGTTGTGTTCTTTTTGCACCACTATTTGTGGCTGCGGATATCATACCTAAAAGCTCTGAGTCTTTCGTTTCTTCCATATCGGTTTAACTTCCGAAGCTGCGGTTAGGACCTCTTTCCGTAGCCCTCACCTATCCCTTCCACGCGTTCCTCAGATACCCCACCCGAAGAAGAATGATTCAGCCCAATACCCCCTGCCAAAAAGTCATGCAAGCCTCGCACCGCTGAACGACGAACGCAGCGCAGCGTGTGACAAATCGACGCACTCTCCCCTCCGCTGGCGCCACTTCTGAGGGGCGCCCGGGGAGACGATCAGTGAAAGTCCCGACATCCCGACCAGCACAAAAAGCGCCGATGCGGCATGCAACCGAGCAAATAAACAACCGACCAGAGATCGGCGGCTGGCGATGCCCCGCGGCGCGCGCCGTTTTTGCCGCGGCGGCGAGGAGTGGCGCGGCGAGCGGACGGCGCCGGTGGCTTTGTCTGCGGTTTTTGCGGTCGGGCTTTTACCGCCGGGCGGCGTTGAACAACTTTTCCGGATGTGTCCGGGCGCAGCGGTCGGGTTCTTACTACTTTTTCGAGGGTACGGTATCGGCCGATGGTCCAGGGGGCCGTCGGTGGAGCAAGTGAGTTCTGTGACCAACGCAGCGCACTTGCGCCGGGCAGGCGGACAGCAAAGTATGCGGAAGAGGCACTCAAATATGAACGAGGGCTCATGGCGTCGTCAGTGGCATCTAAAATCATCCGACAGTGTCGTGTACCCAAACCTCGGTTTAACTGCAGCTGCGGCGGCCAAATCGATGGGGTAATTGGGGCCAACTACGCGATTTCCGGAAACCTGTTGCTAGGAGCGCTTGACTTATGACTAAACGTTTCAACTTCGAAATGGCTCACTCCATGTGTTCATCAAATATTGAACCACTCTGGATGGGTTTTCGCCAAGTGCTTCGTTTGAGTCAAGCATCGCCATTTCCCCGTCAACTGGGACGTCCGACAATATTGACCATTCCGCGGACGGATGGCGGCCTTTCTGGGTCGAAAGTACCGGCCGGTCCCAACTGCACGTGTCATCCGGAAATGGCGCTCGGCCCCAGGGCAAACATAATTGTTGTGCCGGTGTTGACCCAGCCTGAGTGTGGTGGAGGGGGGGGGGGGGGCAGGGACGCACCTCGTGTCCGCTAGCCAGGGGCCCGTGCTGGCATGGGCTCAGTCTGAGTGGGGGTGCGTGTAGGGGTGGAGGGGTTGGGGAAGAGGTACGCGCCTTTTCCTTCAGCCAGGGACCTGCGCTGACATCGGCCCAACCTGAGGGGAGGGGGGGGGGGGGGACGCGCCGCGAGTCTGCCAGCCAGGGGCCCGCGCTCACATCGGAGGGGCCCTGCATGGAGATCGGTTACGGACGATAGATGGGCTGATTGACCTTTCAGCGAGCGGGTCATTGTGACTGAGGCACGTTACTCTGTCTGTGACGCAGTGGCGTGTGCGCTGATCGGTTCCGCATGGCTCGCCCTCGGTCATGGCGGGATAATGAATGCTCCATTGTTGCCGCCCGTGGAGCTAAGGAGATAGCGTTTTCCCACTAGATATCAGCTGAAGACGGATTGCATGTGTCTCTGGTGACGTCATTTCACTCTGGACAAGCGGACCGGTTGCCTCACCACTTCTGTCGTGGTCGGCCTAATCTGCCGATCGCTGTAATTTTCTCATCACGCTCACATTACAAAAATGAATTGCTAAAGCTGGTGATTCACGCCAGCCGGATGAAGGACTTCTGGCCACTTTCCCGCAAGCGCACAATTCCCAGGATCTGGTGACCGTTTCAGTTGCATACTTTCGTGAGTGCATCGGAACAAGAGTTAGGCATTTTCTTGAAAGGCATCAGTCATACCCCTTCGCAGGAACTCAACCAGGCGCCCATTGATGCTTGCTGAGTCCAGTTTACTTCCATGTTCGATGCATTCTGGAATGGTGCCGGTGTGCGTCTTTGCCTGGCCGACACGGGGTGACGCCATCTATTCCATGCAGTCACCATGTTAGTGCTCAAGCGAAAATAGCTGGCCTAGCGAAAAACCGTGCGGATTTAATTCGGAAATGTGTGCATTCGGACACTTTGACAGCATGAATGACAACAGTGAACAAAAGGCCACAAAAGACGCAACGAAAACGCGGAAATGTCGCCAAGGTCTGGGTCATACCCGTCCATCGTACTACATCTACTACATCGTAGTGGAAAAACTGCTCATTTCAAAGAAATGTGGTGTGCGCGTGACGTCACCACGCCTGTGCAGAGCAGATCGTCAAAACGTGAATCTGTAAGGTTCTGACTTGTGACGGGTACCTGCGATTCCGCGCACAATCTCATTTCATATACTTTTTGAAGCTGGGTGCTAGTGAGCCCGCAATAGCAGCCTCACCAGCCGCGTTTCAGGACGTTCCGTGTGAAGCTTCCTCCGAGTGCCACCGCGTTCCCGGAGCAGCGTAGCGATACTGCGGCGCCACAGCCTCCCGTCTGCCGACCAAGGCAAGGTGCTCAGGGGCGTCGGCTGCACGTGCTGAGGATGCCGCGCCGGGCGTCCCCGCCTGATTCATGTGCATTCACGCGGCTGAAGTGCCTGCCGTTCGGGCGGCGCCCAATTAGGGCGAAGCGGCGCCTCCGTCGGTCGGCGCCGGCCGTCGAGCCGCGCCGACGTCAGCGAACGGCCGCCGACCGCCAGCCCGTCGGCGGCGCGGACCTCTCGGAGCCGCCTGGGCGGCCGGGGAGGCTCGGAGGGTCGGAGGGTCGGACCCTGGCCGCGATGACCCGGTTCGGTTCCGGCCGCCTGACCCGGCCGTCTCTCCGCCAGTCTTTCCCGATGGGAGGCCTCGGCGCCGTTATGGGGTCTAATGGGCCGACTGTGCGGGGATCAGGAGCGTCGCCGTCGTGGGGTGGAATATCAAACAGACGGTTCAGGTGCCGACTGGCCGAGCCGCGCCGAGCCAGATCCGTCTTATCTCGAGATCGAAACTTCATTTGTCATCGTCCGCCTGGTCTTTTGTCTACGATCGCTCTGTAACAATACGTCAAACTGTGGAGGTACTGTGGAGTCAATAATTTATTACAGATCAGGCGATGTGACTAGAATAACAAAATAAGCGATCTCCTCTCATATATACACATACGCACTCCCTCTTTAACAGGTGGGAAATCACTGGAACGATAATCTCATTGGTCGGCAGTCAACACATGCTCGCACATCACTAGCCCTGGGGGCACCTCCAGTAATTCGCACATCGACGCCCGATGGCAGCACACACCGAACAGGTGACGTGCGCGGCGCGCTCACCCGGCTGGCGCCTCCGAAAGGGATGATGAGCGCCGGGTCACGAGGCTAGCGACCTTTGCGCCGGCCGCCCGGGCCGCATACCGATGAGAGAATGCCCTAAAACGGCGCCGGCCGGCCACGGCCCGGTGCGTCTGGTCGCGGGGTGCCGGGGCTCGCAGACTCCGCCAGCTGCACAGACGGCCGCGTGGCGCCGGCGCTACACCCAGAGCGAGTGGGAGAGCGAGCGCTGGTGGTGGTGCTGGTGGCCCGGATGGTCCGGGTCCGACGGCATCTGCGGCTGCACCTCCGGCTCCAGCGTGCAGTAGATGTCGGCGTCGGTGGCCGGCCGGCCAGCCGTCTGGTACTGCTCGATGGTCATGTACGTGTGCTCGCTCGGCTGGATGCTGCTGTAGCTGTTATTGTGCGGCGCCTGGGCGCTGTAGACGAGCGCGTGGCTCGAGTCGGAGCGGCCGTGCGCCGGCCCGTCCGACCGGTCATCCGACACCACCGTCGAGCACGTCGGCGACGGCGAGTCGCTCGGCAGCACGGCCCGCAGCGCCGCCGCGTCGCGAGCCGCGCACGCTGGCTGCCCGAACCCGTACAGCGCTTTCAGGCCGCGGCCGCTGGGCAGCAGGGCGCGCAGCCGGCGCCAGAAGTCGGGCTCGCCGTAGCGCACGCAGTCGGCGCCGCGCAGCAGCGCGCGCAGGTCCGATTCCAGCTCGGCCCGCTCCACGCCGTGCATCACAGCCACCACGCCGCGCGCGCGCCGCAGCGCTTCCAGGTGCGACGACTTGAAGTCGAACCGGCACCACTCGTTGTCGAGGAAGTTCCTGGAGAGCACGAGCAGCGTTCGCCGCGACGCCTGCACGCAGTGGTGCACGGCGTCGCCCAGGTAGCTGGTGCTAGGCGCGTCGCGCCGCAGCAGGCACAGCCGGTACGCCGGCGTCGCGTGCTCCAGCTCCGGCGCCAGCACCTCGTTCACGAAGCGTGTGTCCTGCGCGCTGTACGTCACGAACACGTCAAACTGCGTCTCTGCCTCGCGCGCCACCGTCACCGCCGCAGCACCCGCCAGCGACGATTTGGCGGCGGCCGGCGCCGCGCCGCCGCACAGACGCGCGCGGAAGCGGAACACGAGCGCGGCCGCCGCGGCCGCCACCACCAGCGCCACCCCGGCCAGCACGGCCATCAACAGCACGCCGTCGGTGGCCGGTCGCTGCACGGCCGATGTCGTCAGGCCGCCGGCGCAGGTGGGCCGCGCGGCGGCGTACTCGCACTGGATGTTGTCGGCGTCATCCACCTTGGCGCGGTTGTCAGCTAAATACCCGGCCAGTCGCTCGGCGAACGCGCACTCGCACGACCACGGGTTGCGCGCCAGCGTCAGCTCCACCAGGTACGGGCTGGTCAGCTGCCACACGGGGAAGCTGGTCAGCTGGTTGCCGTGCAGCGTCAGCACCTCCAGCGCGTGCAGCTTGGCGAACGTGGCCGGGTGGATGCGCGCGATGCGGTTGTTGTGCAGGTAGAGCTCGCGGAGAGACTGCAGGCTGTCAAACTCGTGTCCGTACAGCTCCGGGAGGACGTTGTTCTCGAGCCGGAGCACCTGGAGCGCCGAGAGGCCGTTGAGGCTGCGGTTCTGGATCTCCTCCACGTTGGAGTTGTTGACGTACAACAGGCGGATCCGCTTGCGCCCGATGAAAGTGTGGCTCTCCAGGCTTCGGATGTTGTTGCCGGCGGCCAACAGGGCCGTGGCGTCCATCGGGATCTCCCGCGAGATGGCCAGCTGCTCTCGGCTACTGCAGTCGACGATGTTGGTGTTCCATGTGTGGTCGTGGTAGCAGGAGCAGCCGTCGGGGCACTTCATCTCGCAGTCGCAGGCCACGTAGTTGCAGCAGTGGCAGAGGGCGAAGCAGTGCCGCTCGTAGTTGCAGAGGAAGTCGGCCGGCTTGGTGAGCGGCAGCGGGATCGGATGGCCCGGTGACCGTAGTAGGCGGCACATCACCCGCTCCGCGTCCAGCACCTGCCGAGGCAGCGAGAAAACCGTCAGACAAACTACACTGGACGACGGAGAAAACTGCACTATTGGGTTATGCAACTCACATGGCAATTATACAAAACCAGCCAAACGACAATCATCACTCCCTTCTTGATTACGTACCAGCTGTACGTCGTCGCATTTCGCCCCTCAGAATATTCATGCTTGGCACAGTGTCTCCGGGAGATGATGTAGACGAGAGCGGCGAAAGCGGGTGGGGAATACCATCTCCCCGTTGGAATATTTACGAGTCCACAGCGTTCCATGGCATAAAATGGAGATAAAAATCCCGTCTGCACCATTCCTCAAATTTATACAAACCCACAGCGTTTCATGGCATAAAATCAAGATAAAATCGCCTTCGCACCCTTGCGCCAAACTACTCGGAGGATGCTTCGCCCTGATTCCTTAACATCAGCGTACACAAGCATCCATGGATCAAATCACCGACTCAGCAGCCTGCTAGAGATTAACTGTTCACTGCTTCAGTCCGGTGCGCTTCGTAGCTCCATACTTGCTCAACGACGAATCCACTTAAGCGGATAAGTAATGTTGCGATACACTTCACGACAAAAGTTCTGACAATCAACAACCACCGATTCGAATGATGTGCAATAATTTTGTCCTGTCCACGCATAGTTTTACTGGACACAGGAAAGTGTATAGGGAGGTCAACGCAGGCGACGGTGTATGCATTGAGCCTCCCTGCTCCGATCAGCGCACCTGCATCTCCGACAGCCTTTATCTAGTCACCGACAGGCCTGTCGCCATGCTTCACGCGCCTCACTATTGGCCATGCCAGACCTCGAGCCGGCGCCAATGACCAGCACATTCGCTGCAAAGTTCGTTAGCGATACCTGTCCTCCCAATTTTGTCTGATCTGTTCTATCTTGCTGGCATCGCTCATGGAAATCCGGCGCAGAGGCAGTTCTTGCGCAAATCCACGCCGCCGACAAAGCAGCACGTTATCTGCGCTGTCCGAGCGGTGACCACCTTGATTTGCAGCAAAAGAGAAAAGATCTGCGGCGAGCGGGTGACCACGGTGTCTGATCCAATCACATCCGTCTATGGCGGATCGTGGGAGAATGTGCAGGCACATGCGGCCCGTTTCGCGTCCGTGCGAAAACGCTTAAATTATAGTCGTGCAAGAGACGGCATTTGCCGCTGCTTTTAGGTTTGTTCGACGGGAGTCTTACATAGCTGGTGAAATGACTGGGCTCAGCGGATCGACGTCCGCTAAAAGGGGATCAAATTTCGTGACTTTCTGCTACAAGGCTGTGCTAAGTTCACCAAAACAGATGTTAAATTATTATTTCAAGAAACTGCAATGTTCTCTCTGGGCGCGCTCATTTCCCATTCCCTGCCGACTCCTGTGTTTGCTGTCGTCCATCGAAATGCGAGCTCAAGTCATCAAAACTTCGGCACGGTCACACTGCCGTCAACAAAACCGATCCACTTCAAGCGAGCCTTTCCAATGACTAAAGCCAACTATAAATCGGTTTATCGCTCGGTCCATTCCGGCCAATGGTGCTTCAGTCACTTTGGCGATTAGTAAGAAGCCTCGCCATCACGGTGAGTGCAGTGAGGCCTCACCTGAGGGTATTTGTGTCGCGGCGTCATGGTGTCGATGGTGAGCAGCCAGTCCATGGCGCAGTCACAGAAGAAGGGGTTGCCGGCCAGTAGAAGCTCGGCCGGCGCCACGCTGTCCTCGCTGCCGGCCAGCGTCACCGCCTGCAGGTCCAGCTCGCTCAGCTGGTTGGAGGAGAAGTCGGCTCGGATCAGCCGGGACTTGGCTTCGAACGTCCCCAGCTCCACCGTCGTCAGCTGGTTGCTGGCAAGGATGAAGTACTTAATGCCGTCGGGCACGGACGCAGCGGCCAGGTGCGACACCTCGTTGTGACTCAGATCCAGCGTCTCCAGCTTGATCTTGGACTCGATGTTGTAAAAGTTGCCGATCTTGCGGATCCGGTTGTTGTGGAGGTCGAGCCAGCGCAGCTCGACCGGAATCAGGGCGTAGTCGAAGAACTCGATCTGATTGTCGCTGGCGTTCAGCCAGAGAAGCGCCGGCAGCTTCGCGAATAGGCCGTTGACGTTGCTCAGCCGGTTGGCGTCGATTCGGACGACGCGCAGGCCGGCGGCAGCGTCGAAGGCGCCGCTCTCGACGCCGCTGATGCGGTTGCGGGAAAGGTCGAGCACGGCCAGCGAGCTCAGGCCGGTCAGACAGCCGACCGAGACGTTGCTCAGCTGGTTGCCGGCGAGGCTGATAAAGCTGAGCTGGCGGAGCGGCGCCAGCGCGCCGACCGGCACGTCCCTGATGAAGTTGTCTGCCAGGTCCAGCCGACTCAGGAACGTCAGCCGCCTGAGCGCCGCCGGCACCGACAGCAGCTGGTTGCGCTGCAGCAGCAGGTGCTCCACACTGGTAACGTTGGAGAAGGTGAGGTCGGCGATGTCAGTCAGCCGGTTGTTGTCCAGTCGCAGTCGGCTCAGCACGTGCAGGCCGGCCAGCGAGTAGCGACCCAGCCGAGCAAGTGCATTGTCCGAAAGAGACAGCGTATGCAGGTTGCTCAGCGACGAAAACACGCCGTCTGGCACGGACGTCAGCACGTTCCGGCTGAGGTCCAGCACCTGGAGGCTTGAGAGGTCGTGGAACACGTCCACGCTGAGCGAGTCCAGCTGGTTTGCCGACAGATCCAGCACGATCAGACGGAACAGGCCGGCGAAGGTGTCCTTTCGGATCCACTCGGAGCTGAGGTTGTTACGGGACATGTTGACCGCCTGCAGCTGCGGCAGGTCGGACAGCAGGCTCGGCGGCAGGACGCGGATGCTGTTGTTCTGCACGCGGAGGTCGCGGAGCAGACGCGTCTCGTTCAGCATCATGGCCGGCAGCGCCACCAGCCGGTTGTCGGAGACGTCCAGCACCTCCAACCGTTTCAGGTCCCGCAGCGCTCCGTCGTGGATCACGGCCAGGTGGTTGGCGCGCGCGTGCAACTCACGGAGGCTGCCGAATGAGCTGAGTCCGGCCGGTGACAGCTCCAGCAGACCGTTGCTAGACACGTCCAGCACCTGCAGACTGTCGCTGATGCCAGCGTCCTGCAGCTCGGCCAGCTCTTGGAAGCTGTTACCAGTGAGGTTGAGCGTCTTGAGCGACGCTAGGTCCGCGAACACGCCCGACTCCAGCGCCCACATGTTGTTCTCGCCGAGGTCCAGCGTCTCGAGGTACTCGAGGCCCTCGAAGCAGCCCCGCTCCAGCCTCATCTCCGCCGACGTCCACTCGCGGTTGAACGTCCTTAGGCTGAGCGTCCGCAGGCCACGCAGGTGGCGGAACACCCCTCGCCGGAGGTGCCCCAGCGCGCAGCGCTCCACCGCCAGCTCACGCAGCTCGCCGAACGCGCGCCCCAGCGCAACGGCGAAGTCAACGCTGACATGCGACGAGTCGGCGCACTCGATCTCCAGTCGCCGCAGACGGCCGAGCTGTGTCACGTTCACGCGGCCGGCGTCCAGCGTGTCCAGCCGGCATCGCGCGGCGTCCGCGCCCCGCGGCTCGCATGGCTCGGCGGCTGCGCGCCTAAGCAGCGGCAGCAGCAGCAGCGCTGCGATCACAGCCCGAGCGGCGCGCATTGTGCCGACCGCCGCCGCCCGACCATCACCGAACGTCGCACACGCACCCCCAGCCTTCGCTGACTGCAGACTGCCGGTCGGCCGGCCGTCCGCCTTCCCCGCACCGGCAGCCACCTGCGTCCCGGCGCTCAGCGCAGCGCGCCGCCCGCCGTGACCGGCATTCAGCGCAGCACCACGCTCAGGCTCCCCTAGCGTCCTGTTCAAAAGGCCTCCACCGCGCTTTACAGGTTCAAACTGATGCCGCCGCTGATCCCGACAGTTGTGATAGCCTGGCAGAGGTTCAGAGACGCGTCGGGTGCGGTTGCAGCGGATGACATTCTCCCAGACGTGACGCGCCTGCCGTCTCGCCGTCACGTCGTAACGCGCTCCGTCCGGCGCGGCCGCCCGCACTGCAGTCGCAGCGGCTTGCTTTTGGCATCGCGTGGCCCAGTGCGGATCTCATTACGACCCAGCGTTACGACATGGCGCGCCGTTCCGGTCAGCGGCGGGTGCCCTCGGGACGCGCCCATCTCCCCGAGGGATCTGGGGGATCACAGCAGCTTGAATGGGGTGACGTCTAACTGCTGAACACCGGGACGCCGCGGTACGACCAGGCATGGCGTGTATGTACACTGCGTGCGCTTACGACTGGAAAGTTGGGCAGCTCAATGTACTCCAAGCCCTATCGCATGAAGGGCGCTGTCATCAAATCATGTACATATTGGCACACTACACAAGCCTTTGTTGGTTTATGCATGCGTTGGCGTTTTTACGCAGCGCGCATCATTAGCGATCCCGGCTCCAAAGAACTCGGTGAGGCGTGAGGCTGCTAGTTGTGGTGTTGGTGGGTGGATGTATGTAGAGACCACGTCGCCCAAGACGGGTAATCTACAAGTAAACAGTGCAACAAAGGTGTTGCTTGACAACACTTCATACCACACAATCATGTCAAAGGACATCCCTTAAATCGCAGTCGAATCACCATCGGAGGAAAGGGAAGGGAGAGACACGCCTAATTGCTGGGAGGTGTCCGGACTTATGCTAAATTAGCTGAAAGTAATTGGCATTGCCCACTTTATCTCCATACGTTACTTTTAGGTCATTTCACTTGGCTGTAGGAGGGCGATAGCCTCAAGACTCACGCTTCCTGGTTTCTTCCGAGACTCTCCATGAAATCACATTGTCGGTTAATGGCACGCGATGCGTAATGCGTACGCGATTGGTGAAATGTCGTCTGCATAACATGAAGCGCCCAGAGAGACAGTAATTCGCGTCGCCAACAGCTCAAAATGTGAAATCGTGGTGGATTGACAGCAATATAGGCAGAAAGGTCGAAGTTTACCAAGGTCCAAGCTGCAATCTAGACCACTGGCTGCTAGTCAAACTCCAGCACCGGTGTGCTTTGCCCATTGCCTTAGCACGCTCCCAAGTGGCTGATTGAATACCCTTCCTTCAGTTGGGGGTCAATTTGACCCCCGCCCTCTGAGATATCAAGAATGGAGGGAGCTTAAAACACCAAATCCACCGGGTGGGTTGGCCTAAACGTGAACTCATTAGTGTCAAAATTGGAGGTTCCTAGGCTATGACCTTTGCGTCAAACACGGCCAAATTCAAGATTGGTGTCCAAAGTGCACCCAGACCTTTTTAGCAACCACCTTGAACCTAGATACTGGTTCAAAGCAAAAGGTCACTGGTGTCCATTCGAGGTCAGTGACCTTTTTGACCTTAAGAAGTTCATGGTGACTGGTCACGAGCTTACAACACGATGAATGACGGGGGATTAAAATAGCATTGCAGTAGCTTTATCAATCTCGTTTACACATGGGCCAGTTCTAAATGTCCGGTTTCAAAACAGATCAATCGCTATTTTTCTCTCCGTCAAGACTGCCGAGATTTGCGCCCCTGATTGTCGAATTTCAAACGTTGAGTAATTTATCCTCATTAAAACGATTTTTCTGAGAATCGTTGCAGTTCACAAGAAAGTCACCGCATCGGAACATGCTGTTTAACACGCAACTCGCTCGTTCACAGCTCTACAACCAGTCCAAGTCCACTTCAACGTCACGACCTGACGCAAGGTAAGAAAAATCTCGTCTCTGGTATTTTTATTTAGTTTTGCTTACCTACCACTATCCCTGCCCTGGACCTTTCATGATGACTTCGGCTTCCGCTAACATCTTAACATGCTCAAACCTTCGGTGCTCCTGACATCGCGCGGGTACAGACTCTCCCGCCCGCGTATACAACTCAGCCAAAAGGTAGAGAGGCGTCGCTGGGCCACTTTGAGCTTCCACCCGCGTAATCACACGTTCCGGCTCCCGTCACGTACAAGAACGACGTTCTGGTTCAAGAAGCAAAATCCCTGCTTTCTTTTAGGCAGGGCGCCTGAGCGAGCAATATAAATGAAGCTGTCTGCAGTCAGCGCTCCGTTTGCCTCACGCCGCATTTCCGCTCGAAGATAAATAAGGCTGCCATTTGCTGCCATTCGCTGCGACCTCCAACGACCAGCCCCCACCGACGATATTTGCTCGTTAACTTAATTGCTTCATTATCGACGCATCAGCCGTTGTAGACCATTGGCGTCGGATCCACAACCAGGTACAAAATTTGTGAGCACATGTAACACCCAACGGAACAAACGTCGCGTGGAGTCCACTGCGAGAGTACGTGAGGGACTTTGCCGACGTTATAAAGCTTTACATCACTGCCAAACGTAAATATATACTGTATATTTTCTAGTATATTATGTATGATAGAGTAAACAGAAATTATGTGTTTGGCTGCTGTGACACCCCGCGGAAAGTTTTCTCGTGGCACGCAAAAAGCTTCTGCATCCTTGCCATTTGAGAGGCCAAGGACTTTTCATCTAGCGAGTAAGGTTCGTGAGAAGCATGGAATTATAGTGGTTAAACTCTCTGCGCCCACCGTCATTTTCGATTGATTTGACGCTGGCCATTGTTTTTTAGGGCCCTCTTCGATGTGAACAATGTGGAAGCACTTGGCATTTAAGAATAAGACACGTTTCTTTAGATCCAACAAGATGATGATCCGGACAAGAATAGAATGAAGTGTGTCTTCCCTGCTCAATTTCTTTTAGCACACAAGATATCGATTTTTAAGGTAATTACGAGGTAACCTAGGGCAACCTTGTATTTTACATAGGCCGTTATGATATCATGATTAATCATGTTATGTCAGGACTAACAAGCGTGCTGCATTTTCAAAGTTACTAGCGTGAACACGGAGTGAGGTAGAAAGCCAAAATTTCTGCATTGTCTGTCCACTTTATGACGTCACTTTGGCCAAACCTACGAAACCCTGGCCGCAATTTTTGTCGCAACTTATCTCAGCGACTTGTTGGCAGGTATATGTCAACTCACTGTCGCACCGCTACTCTGAGTTTTGGCAAAGACACTGAGAAGGGGAGATTCCTCTGTGTTAAAAGTGACAGCACACAGAATGACGCTCACAAATAACAGGAACGTAAAAAAAAAATGGTGAGAAAGAACCTTGCGCTCACATTGCTATCGCTACATGAGTCGGCTGTACCTGAGTCTCGCAGGGCCCGTGGCGCTGCAGGTGGTAGCGCAACGCCCGGGGGTGCAGGGGCGGTGTTGGTGCAGCACCCGGGGCTGTTCTGCTTTCCTAGCCCACTCTGAGTCATCTGCTTCCGGCTTCACAACCAGCCGGGAGTCACCCCCGCTCCCTACCCGCGTCTTCAGCCGGCGTCCTCCAGCAGTCGAACCTGTAAAGCCATGCCGAACCATACGCAGCGTTGGCGCGGTAACTTTGCTGAGCTACGCTAGCTTTTCAAAGCTGGACAGCCAGAGACCCTGCTTTCTGAAAGCTCATCCTATAACAAGAAGGGTAGGTTTTGCTCGAGCAGAGAAGCGTTCGTGGTGGCCTCCATTAGAACGATGGCGTCCCTGAACGCATCCACTTGTCGGAAAGAGCCGGAGAGCCCCTTTCTTCACCAAAGAACAAGCCCTGGATTCCGGCGCGCCCTTCGTCGAGGCCAATACAGTGACGGGTGTGTGCTCGGTCGGCGTGCACGTGCTCATGACTTCGCACCTGCCGGCCGGCTGACTCGGCGTGTTCGCTCCAGCCTGACGCGTCCCACCTGCCCCACGGGCCGGCCCCGCACATCCTGCGTGCACGGGCTGGTACAGGCCGCATTAGCCACGGTCCACCGCTGTCCACGCCCCGCCCGCCTGCCACCCGACTGTCGGCGCTGGCGCCGGCGGCGGTCAGGTGGCGCCGCTGGCGTGTGCCCGCTCGCCCCGGTACAGACCGGAGGCGTGGGGGTCGGCCGCTGTCGCCGCCTGCGTCTGTCCGTTCGGCCGGTATAGACCGGAGGCGTGGAGACCTGCCGCCGGCGCCGCCGTGGCCGCGAGGCGCCGAGAATGTGAAGTGGCGACGACAGAACTAAGCACGCTTGAGACACGGCGCTCGTAAGAAACCGGCCTGCGTGGTAGGTTTATCCACCAAGTAAATGGAAGGACCGCTGGCAGCTTTGACGGAGCGGATCTGTTGTCTGGTCGGTGTCGTGAAAGTATTCGCACTTGCTTAGAAAGCAAAATCATAGCGGAGGCTACCACCCTGTCCATGAGCGCTGATTAAATGCTCAGTCTTGATAATCCATCTGTCAAAATTATAATCTAGGCTCACCGCAAGTAAAGATAACTGATGTCAACAGTCTGAAAATAGTCGTCAATGTGGTGAGTTTTTCAAGGTCGGATCAGTCAGCTGAAGACTTGACAGCAGGGCATGGTTTGGCAAACTGCGTGCACCCATAACTCACCATGAATGGTGTTGAATAAGGACTATGCGGATGCTACGCAGCTCCAAGGAAGCTTGACACCACGGGGTAACATCAGACGTGCGTTCATTCCTGAAGCCGTTGTCCTGTCTTCGGTTGACAGTGGG